GTCGGCCTTAAAGCCGATCAATTTGATTTGACCGCTAAAGCTGATTCAGACAAAAAAGACAAAAGCATTATGGATGATAACCAGCCGCGAACCAAACGGAAACCAGACTATTGGATACTAGGCCATAATTATAACTATTTATACCCCTGCCCTCCTTGATCTGAGCTGTAATGAGATTCTGACATATTTTCTCTATTTTCCAGCATACTCTTGCTTTCATCATCTAAACCAAATCAAAGATGGCTACCAATTACCAGTCTTCCAAGGAAACCACAAATTTTGCACGGATTTGCAGGTTGGTCATCGATGTCATCCCGGACTTATTGCGAGATTTGCTCAACACTCGGTTGCCAGCATCAGGACTATCTGCAGTACTTACCACCCAGAAAAGGAAGATCTTTTCTGTGTTGAAGCAACATCAAAAGAACATTCTGTATCCTCAAGGTGGGGTGTTTCAAGGTTCTGTGAAGGATTTGGACACATCACTTCTTTACATCCTTCTAAGAAACATTGGAAATATTCCATCTCATCATCAAAGTTGGGGAAACGCACCGGATATTGCAGACAGATCGCTGTCGGCCAACATCGACCGTCTACGTGAGCAGCGCAATGCGGCGTTTGCACATGCACCTAATGCCTCCCTTTCTGATGGAGATTTTCAGGCTAGTTGGGACATCATCCGCCAAAGTGTGGAGGAAATACAAAATAGTGAACTGAATACAGGGCGGTTTGTAGTGGCAGTGGATGAAATGCTTACCATGGAGATGGACCACAGAGGGACAAATAAATACATCAAGGAACTTCTAGTGGTTATAAAAGGTAAGTTAGATGTTGGATTGTCAGGTTATTTAAGTCATATACATCAGATGACGAGTTGTTCAAATCGCCTTTGTCCATGGTCCCATGGCTGTCCTTATATAATTCTTAGTATCACTATTTCCCAAGAATTACTGGAAGAATCTTTCCAAATCTCATTTATAAATTTCCCCATATTCCTTGAAATGCATGTTTCATTTTAAGACTGATAAAAAAACCAGATGGCTGCCAGGCATTTCTGAAGAATTATTGAACAGATCTTTCTCAAATTTCATACGTTGATTGCCTTTGGTCCATAATTGAGAATATTTTATTTGAGATTAGAAATAACAAGATGGCAGCAGCCAGGCAGATCTGAAAATCAAGACGGCCGATAGGCACCATCTTGTTTTTTCTAGAGTTTAAGTTTGTTAGTGCTTTAACTCAGAAATTACTGGAAGAATCTTTCTCAAATTTGATATTTAGGTTCCTCTTGGTCTGTAGTTGTGCATGTTCACCTTTGAGACTGATATAATAAACAAAATGGCCGACAGACGGCCATCTAGGGTTTTTAAAGATAAAGTTGTTAATTCTCAGAAACGACTTGAGGTGTCTTTTTCAAATTTGATATGTAGGTTCTACTTGGTCCTTAGCTATGCATGTTATATTTTGAGAGTGATCATAAATACAAGATGACTGCAGAAAGAACTTGCAATGATTGGTGCTATTTCTTTAATATTAAGTACTGTACTAGAAAATATGTGAAACGACAAACTCACTTTGAAGGTTGTCTTTCATACAGAGCAGTCTAAGTTACCTCAAGGTGCATTTACTGTTTCCATGTCTCGATCAAACAAGATCAGAAGAGAAAAAATCGAACTGACAAAGAACTAAGGAAGATGGTACAATGGTGGGCGCCAAGATCCGTCTGGGTTCTCTCGTTATGCTTCTCCAAATCATACGGGGAGCATGTAGTCGCCCATTTTTCAATTCATTCTTTCCTCCATATGTTTGTCAAGGCCATAACTTCTATATCTTTGAAGATAACTCAGTGCAATTTTAAGGTATTGTTGGATGGTATAAGGCAATGTGTTGAGTACCACTACAGGGTCTTTATGCCCAAGGTCACAGTCACATTGAGGTCAAATTAAAATTAATTGTGTGGGGTGTAACTTCTAAGTTGCTGTGGTTAACTCAAGGAAATGTTAAGGCACAAGTATGATGGCAAGGCAGTGGGTGGCAAACCACAGCTTTGTCCATATACACAAGGTCAAGGTCACATTAAATCTTAACCATACACATAAGGTCAAGGTTACATTAAATATTACCCATACGCATAAGGTCAAGGTCACATTAAATCTTAACCAATGACATAAGGTCCAGGTTACATTAAATCTTAACCATACACATAAGGTCAAGGTCAAAGTTTCCCGTTATACAGTAAATCTATAAACGAAGCCTACATCTATATATCGAGATATTTAGACATTTCATTGTTCAACATTTTATAATGGTTAGCAATTTTCAAAGATGGTTAAAGCATTCTGGCAATTACAGGGAATCTTCACTAATGTCATTAAGATGTGAGCTAGCCATGCTGTTCTCCAACAATTCGTAATATAACTTACCACATTAAAATAGGTAAAAAGTAACGCAAACAGATCACAGCTCTTAGAATAAACTAATATTTTAGAGCTAATCACTATTGAGAAAGTTCAAAATTGTAAATTTAATGATGTACTTATCTGTCACTTCAGGTGATATGGCCGGTATGTCTGTCAAACTGGACACCATCGAAACAGATATGGCTGATCTACAAGGTATGTTGTTTCATTGTTAGCTCTGAAGGACCGGGGAGCTTATGTCATGGCGTGGTGTCCGTCATCTGTCCATCTCAGCGCATCTGATCAAATTTGATCAAGCACTGCGTGGCAAAGCTGACTCATTGTTGTGTAAACTTGGGGCAGAGGGCCGGGCCAAATCGGGGAAATTAAGGTAAGGTTTTGTAAATCCATTTCATATACCGCAAGGGACTGATTCAATTAAATACTTTGAAACGGTTGAGATCCCCACCCAATAACCATATATGCCATTGCTTGGTATCAAGAGATGAACACACTCATTGTATTAGTATTTACTCTTGTGTCTGGCCCTACCCCTTGGGACCTAGTTTCTGGGACATAACTTTGAAACGGTTTAGGTCCCTACCCCATAAGCATATATTCATTTTATAGGAATAAAGAGATAAGACACACACATGATATTATATTTACATTCTGTATGCTTGGACGCATTGACGAAAATGACATTCATTTTTGCCTAACAAAGGTGACCTCATCACTGCATATTGAAACACTAAAATGACGTAGTGCATGACATACTTGGTTCACGTCCGACGTGGAACAGCCCTCGCTGTAGTTTTGTTATGATGAAGTAATACTAAATATGATTGACCTGGTTTCAATGCTTAAATAAGGTGTGTTAAGAACACGATAATAATATACCACTTGTATAAATTCTACAAATTAAATTTTTCATCCCTTAAATAATTGAATAATGGGGTTGGCTTTCTGGACATATTCAATGAATCGCGTTATTTCATTCCTTAAATAATTGAATAATGGGGTTGACTTTCTGGACATATTCAATGAATCGCGTTATTTCATTCCTTAAATAATTGAATAATGGGGTTGGCTTTCTGGACATATTCAATGAATCGCGTTATTTCATTCCTTAAATAATTGAATAATGGGGTTGGCTTTCTGGACATATTCCATGAATCGCGTTATTTCATTCCTTAAATAATTGAATAATGGGGTTGGCTTTCTGGACATATTCCATGAATCGCGTTATTTCATTCCTTAAATAATTGAATAATGAGGTTGGCTTTCTGGACATATTCCATGAATCGCGTTATTTCATTCCTTAAATAATTGAATAATGAGGTTGGCTTTCTGGACATATTCCATGAATCGCGTTATTTCATTCCTTAAATAATTGAATAATGAGGTTGGCTTTCTGGACATATTCCATGAATCGCGTTATTTCATTCCTTAAATAATTGAATAATGAGGTTGGCTTTCTGGACATATTCCATGAATCGCGTTATTTCATTCCTTAAATAATTGAATAATGAGGTTGGCTTTCTGGACATATTCCATGAATCGCGTTATTTCATTCCTTAAATAATTGAATAATGAGGTTGGCTTTCTGGACATATTCCATGAATCGCGTTATTTCATTCCTTAAATAATTGAATAATGAGGTTGGCTTTCTGGACATATTCCATGAATCGCGTTATTTCATTCCTTAAATAATTGAATAATGGGGTTGGCTTTCTGGACATATTCCATGAATCGCGTTATTTCATTCCTTAAATAATTGAATAATGAGGTTGGCTTTCTGGACATATTCCATGAATCGCGTTATTTCATTCCTTAAATAATTGAATAATGAGGTTGGCTTTCTGGACATATTCCATGAATCGCGTTATTTCATTCCTTAAATAATTGAATAATGAGGTTGGCTTTCTGGACATATTCCATGAATCGCGTTATTTCATTCCTTAAATAATTGAATAATGAGGTTGGCTTTCTGGACATATTCCATGAATCGCGTTATTTCATTCCTTAAATAATTGAATAATGAGGTTGGCTTTCTGGACATATTCCATGAATCGCGTTATTTCATTCCTTAAATAATTGAATAATGAGGTTGGCTTTCTGGACATATTCCATGAATCGCGTTATTTCATTCCTTAAATAATTGAATAATGAGGTTGGCTTTCTGGACATATTCCATGAATCGCGTTATTTCATTCCTTAAATAATTGAATAATGAGGTTGGCTTTCTGGACATATTCCATGAATCGCGTTATTTCATTCCTTAAATAATTGAATAATGAGGTTGGCTTTCTGGACATATTCCATGAATCGCGTTATTTCATTCCTTAAATAATTGAATAATGAGGTTGGCTTTCTGGACATATTCCATGAATCGCGTTATTTCATTCCTTAAATAATTGAATAATGAGGTTGGCTTTCTGGACATATTCCATGAATCGCGTTATTTCATTCCTTAAATAATTGAATAATGAGGTTGGCTTTCTGGACATATTCCATGAATCGCGTTATTTCATTCCTTAAATAATTGAATAATGAGGTTGGCTTTCTGGACATATTCCATGAATCGCGTTATTTCATTCCTTAAATAATTGAATAATGAGGTTGGCTTTCTGGACATATTCCATGAATCGCGTTATTTCATTCCTTAAATAATTGAATAATGAGGTTGGCTTTCTGGACATATTCCATGAATCGCGTTATTTCATTCCTTAAATAATTGAATAATGAGGTTGGCTTTCTGGACATATTCCATGAATCGCGTTATTTCATTCCTTAAATAATTGAATAATGAGGTTGGCTTTCTGGACATATTCCATGAATCGCGTTATTTCATTCCTTAAATAATTGAATAATGAGGTTGGCTTTCTGGACATATTCCATGAATCGCGTTATTTCATTCCTTAAATAATTGAATAATGAGGCTGACCCCATTCCTTGGCTTTTTAGACATATTCCATGAATCGCGTTATTGCATTCCTTAAATAGCTGAATAATGGATCTGGCCCCATTCCTTGGCTATCCAGACATATACCATGAATCGTGTTATTTCATTCCTTAAATAACTGAATAATGAGGCTGGCCCCATTCCTTAGAACTTCATTCCTGAGCCATAACTTTTAAATGGTTGAGATCCCCACCTGTAACCAAATTTACTATTGCTGGGCATCGCGAGACAAACACGATCATGATATTAGTATTGACCCTTTGGTCTGGCCCTAAGTTGGTTCAACATCCAAGATGACCATATTATGCACTCTCTTGTTTCAAATAAAGCAATCTTGTGAAAGGTGTAGTCAAGTCAAGGTAACATAAGATTTGTACAAATCAGGGTCATAAAGTCCTAAAAAGGCTGCACAAAGATATCAACGTTGAGGTTTGATACTGATGAGTATAATGAGTAATTTCTTAAGCAAAATGAGCACAAAACACAGCAAAGCAGTCAAAGTTTTGTCAAGATTATATCAATTTACTTAAGTGCAAAGGTAGCATGATACACAGGAAGAAAAAGAAACCTTTGTTAAGATCAAGTCGATCAAGTGAAATACTGGTGAAACCTCCGACAGGACAATATCAACAAAGTCAAAGGTAGCACCGTACACACAGGAAGTGAAACCTCCGACAGGACAATACCAACAAAGTCAAAGGTGGCACTGTACACACTGGAAGTGAAACCTCCAACAGGACAATATCAATAAAGTACGAAGGTAGCACTGTACACACTGGAAGTGAAACCTCCGACAGGACAATATCAGCATAGTACGAAGGTAGCACTGTACACACTGGAAGTGAAATCTCCGACAGGACAATATCAACAAAGTCAAAGGTAGCACTGTACACACTGGAAGTGAAACCTCCGACAGGACAATATCAACATAGTACGAAGGTAGCACTGTA